GTGAAATCAGTGACTCTTCCACTAGCTTATAATTGCATAACACAGAAAGCAAAACAAATTTCTGCCACGAAAAAGCAGAGTTTACTACACGTAGTCATGGATAGCTTCAAATCTCTCCTGGAGTGCATCAATGCTTGCGTGGCAGGTTTATGCGTCCTTCGACCCGATGGACGGTGTGAAAAGGTCAGAGATGCATTTGGAGTTAAGGGGTCACAGCTTGAGCTTTTTTCCACCCGTTTTTTCTACACTTCAGGAGTAACATGTTTCGCATTAGCGGTGACGGAAGACTTTTAGAGGTAAGGACCTGCATGCCCACTCATGTGCGATAGCGTGCTGCCAGATTATTAGTGTCTGTACACTTGCAATGATTTTAAATCGTCTGTTCATGTCATAAATACAGCCTTGTGTTGTAAATTTACTTTTATACAATAAGAGCTGCAGGCATGTCTCCAACCTTTTAACTTCCCTATTGCACTATATTTCATACAAGTCAGACCTTGCTGAATATGATCCTATTTTCTATGCAAATCATTAAGTGTATTAAGCTTGTCCATGCAAAGTTGTTTAAGAAGTTCGTCTTCTTCTCTGACAAATGCTTCACATCTTCAAAGGATGTCTGATAAGTGTTCATCAGGTACTCGAATGTGCTTGAATTACTGCATTAATAGGTTATCATGTATTCTTATGCTTATTCCAATTCTACTTATTATTTTATTATTACAGCGGATCCACGACAATTTAGAATCTCTGTCTCACCTCTTCTTGCAATAGCAATGATCATTTCAGTATTTCGTTTCAGTTTTGCTCATTTTTGAGGTGAACATAGGTGAGGCTCACGAATTGCAGTGATGAGTGGAACTGAGTAAAAGTTACACAGGTCATACTAAGTGATATGTCAGTGAGGCACATGCATATATCTAAAAGCTGAACTCCAACATGGTGTAACATGAAAAGATAAGTGAGGTTGATTCAGGTGCCTGGCGAGTTTTACGAGCTAAGTAAATGACTGAGCCAGGTAGAAGTTGGAAACAAAAGAAAAGATGGAGTGTTTTCAGCAAATGCACTTGTTGTTTGTCTGAGAAGAAGCGAGAATAGTAGACCCAGAGCTCGGCACGTGTTCTGTGAATCTGGATGTCTTCTCTTTGGGCTTCAAGCTGAGGTCACTACTCAACTATGCGCCTTCACAACAACCTTGAGATATCTTTCCCCTGGGCTTCAGTGTGAACACAAATGTGTGCATGAATCTAAATGTCCATGCACGTGTTTTGTTCAGTTCTAAATCACATTGTCACTTTTGCAAAGGCTTAAAACAAGCGATTTTCCATATTGACCTGCTATTTTCTCTTTACTTTGTCTCATTAGGAATAAGATTCAGACTTCTCGTCAGTTCAACATTACCTTACCTAACTGAAATACAGCACTGTGCAAAAATCATGTACCACAGCTTATTTCTTTTAATTTTGCAATGCAGCAATTTAATAAAACATGTCTATGCATACATGAAAATATGGTATATATGAAGAAAAACAGAATTGATACAATTCTAACAAACTTGAAAGTCAATGTTTGATATGACCACTTTTATTTTTCACTTGAACTCTGAGCTCTCGTGTAGTTTCTTTGAGACGTGTTTGGGAATAGTTCTCCAGGCTGATGTTAATGAAGAATGGCTTCCTCAAAAATCCCCAAGAATGGCTTCTTGACATACGTCCTTCCAGCAAGACCATTTCACTGACCATACTTCAGTGAACAGCAGATGATTGAACTGAAGGGTTAGATGCAACTGTCTACTGTGGAAACTGTTCATCTGCTGTACATATATATATTTATTAGGGCTGCTACTTCTTCTGTTGTCCTCATTTACCAAGATAGCCCAAATTTCTGGATAATAGGTCTTTGTGAATCACCCTGTTAGTGCAAAAATGCGATTTTATTTCTCTGAAGCTGAGGTGTCTTTGTGTCAAGTTGCTACTAACAAAATGCCCAAAGATACAATTTCACAGTGGTTGTTTGCTAAGTTGTCTGCTATCCGTGGACACAGAACTGGTTCATCCCTTGAGTCAGGTGTCTTTTCTCTCTTTGGATGAATCATAGATCATCAAAACAAACATTTTGGGACCAAAATCTAAAGAATCAACAGTGGCTTATGACTTTTGGACAGTACTGTATGTAAAGCCTAAACAAATGACAGGGCTTTGCAGGACTATATAGAGACCATACATTTGTGTTTAAAATTGATTTCCATAACTGCTTGCCGAAATAAAATAGCTCTTAAGTTCATCGACAGTGTGAGAATGATATAGGTTTCATGAAATTTGCTTTGAGAGGCCCTGATTTGAAGATGTGTTTAGGAATTTGGGAGGGGGTGGGAGTTTTGTCTGAGAAGCAGACCTTGGGGAGAACTAGACAAACATCATATAAATGAAACATACTCTGAGGAGGGCAAAATAAGGAATGTGCCATCACTCAATCATTGTAAGTAAATTAAGTACATTTGGTAGTAAAGGTTTTCTGCATTAAAAAAAATAAAATCGTAATATAATGTAAGTGAGATAATAATGTAAGTGTGTCATTGAATATTTAAAAGCTTAAAAGCCCCAACACCCACATTTGATTCACAATATAACATAAAAACATATCAAATGTTTCCACTGATGCATTTGACTTTTTCGTGAAACATATTAGCAGCAACATGTCTCAAAGAAGTTGACAAGGGGTCAACAAAAGACTGAAAAAGTGAAGTAACTTGTCTGCAAACTTTAGACACAGTTTGCATATGCATATGATCAGTTTATAAAAGTGGATTTTAACCTTTGGTCCACTAGCAGTTGAGATGAAGACCCAAGTCAATCAGTTTGTGCTCTTCTCCGCTGAACAACAAGGCATTGTGCTTTAAATACATCTCATCTTATCTGCTGCAAGAGAAGCCAAGGAAATGAGAGCCAGATGTGGTGATGTCAGCACACGTCTGTGACTCTAAAGTAGTGCTCAGTGATGCTGTGGTGCAAAAGCAGGGGCAAAGTTTGTGGGAAATATGAACACAGCCCACAACTGACACGGCATTAAAGGTCTGTAATCAGTGTTCAGATTGATGCTGGTGACCGTGGAGGTTGAGGTTGCTGCTACAAAAAGCTCATAAGTTCCTTCGTTTTATAAGAAGATGAAAGGAGAACTGATGCACGTCATTGGCTGTTAAAATTTGTTGGTAGACAGCTTGACTGGTGAGTTTTAAAAGGCTGTGATTGTGACTTGCACGCACTCACGCAGGCACAGATCAGGAGTGCAAATGGACGTGGAAATTTCGCTCCCTGCAATCACCGCGTCGTCTTGTCACGAAAGTTAAAGATCATCAGCCAAATCGCTAAACGCGTTTCTGTGGCAGCCTCGAGTTTCTGTGGCTTACTGTGATCCCTAACCAGACGTTATTAAAAACCTCAGCTCGCATCATCTTGATCTTGATGATGCTTGTTCAGGGGTTCGCTTAATGACAACTGCTGATTCAGTCTTTCTTTCATAGAACACTTTAAAGACACAAAAAAACTTAAGATAATGATTGGATGTTGGACAGAATTTCAGGTATTTATTGGACTAAATTTAGCCGTGACATCATGAAGGTCTTGCTTCAGAAAGAGCTGGGATCAGCCGACACATGGAAGATTGTGCCAGAAACTCCAGACAGCAGCCACATCTTTTTTTCTTGATTGTAAAGTTTACGGCTCATTCGAGACACAAAACAATTTTATTGCTTTTCGGTTGACTTCTTTTTAACACATACCTATTTCTTTTCGAGGTATTGTGTCTTCTTCTAATAAACCTGTGCATTTATTTCTTTCCACTAGGTGGCACATGTGCACCAAACTGACGTTCAAACAAAGCCAAAGATAATATAGAAAAGGTGAGAGAACGGCTTAAGGTTTGTTTTGTTTTGCTTTTTCAAATTTAATAATGCAAAATTCCTAGAATTTACTCTAGTGGTCATTTATCTATATCATAGCGCATTGGTTTTAAAATACAGGCAGGAAAGGTCTGAACACTTGGAAACAGAATACTGGAACTCTGCTTCCTCAAAATAAAGCTTTACAGTGGGAACATCACATCACAGAAAAGCGGATAACCGTGTTACTCCAGCCCCAGCACTATTTATGTATTTAATAATGCACTGGGCATCAGATTAGTTAATACTATGAGCACCATGACGTATTCCTCCTTGAAACAGATGATTGTAAAAATTTAAAAGAAATGGCCATCAGCTTGTTTTCAAATGATGTTTTTTTTTTTATCACTCATTCTCATTTGAGGACAACTCTCACCGTTTAAATAAAGGCTTCAGTTATAGTGGTACCAGCCAGCTTATTTTTACTTTGTTGGTTCGGAGCTGAACCTCCATTTGCGGCATAGATTCAAAAAGTGTTGGAAACACGCAAACGGTTTGTGTGCAGCTTGTCGCGCTGTGTGTCTGCTAGCTGAAGGTCCAGCTGCTGTCCTGAATGTCATAGCAGAAACTGAAACTCACACCAGGCAACATTTTTATAAACTGCTATGAGCAGGTGCAAACTGTGGCAGCTCTTAGCTGAAAGGATTGACACTGGGTGTGGGCTTCTGCTGCCATAGCCCATCATATGTTTTGTGTTCAGAGATGCTCTCCTGTGTAACTTGGTTATAATTAGTGGTAATTTCAAAAATTACACTTTCCTTCCTATCAGTTCAAAGCAGCCTGTCCATTGTCCTCTGACTTCTGACATAAAGAGTTATGGGTGACAAATTAGTTTTTACCTAGAGAACTGCCACTGACTGGATATTTTCTCTTTCCGGGACAATTCTCTGAAGATATGGTTTTTGGGAAAATCCCAATACACTATCTTTCTGTCAGTTTTGTTATTACAGACTCTTAATAGAAAAGAAATCCTCTTTATGTTGGAAATCCACTGAGGAGCTTTATCATGAGAACAAACAAACTAAAAAAAGAAAGACCCACAATGACGTCCATTCCAGGAAACAGCAAAAGATTAATAGTTTTAATAAAATTCATGTCAAACATTAAAATACTGAAATGGCAAAAAAGAAAAAAACCCTTTTCTCTACATTTCTTTTTGAATTTATTTTTTATACAAATCACAGTGGTTCAAAAATATTACAAAATTTTCATTTCAAAACATTTTTTGCAAAAGCAGCAAAACATTCTGATTGTTGTAAAAAAAATTTGAAAGCCCTTAATAGTTTGTGAGTGTGGTGTGCTCTTTCTTTTGCCTTTTATTGTAATAAACACAATAACGTACGCAGTACATGTTATTAAGTCGTTTGAGTCGATGGAAACAAAAGTGCATAACAATACTATACAGTATATATGATCCACAAGTTACAGTATAGACCAGGGGGTTAATCACACCATGTCTCTCTATATGAACACCTCTCTTTTCTTATACATGAATCTAATGAAGAGATACAGTGTGATGAGTAGTTAGAAGATGACAGGTTATGTCCAGCTGGGACGTGTATTAAATTTACAACACTTTATTGTACTTTGGAGAGTACCTACCTTCATTAAAGCATAATGCAGAATAATACAGATGTCACAGCTAACAACTGCCTTCAATCCAATCAATCATTCACAGATGCAGTTCCCCAAATAAAAGGATACTGAAATAGTGGAAGCAATAGAGTGCACTACAGAATTTGTCTTAAAGATAAAGATTAAGTAGAGAAATGGAAAATTAAATGATATTTTGATTTGGATCAATAAAAACTGGTGTGTATATATATATGGACAGCATACTCATCAGACACATAATAGTCGGCTACATAATAAAATGTGCAGGCACCTGAAAAGGAAACGTTACTCTAAATTGCTGGTTTGCTGGGTTTCTTGGTTTATTTATGTCATCCGCTGTGTAGCTTTTGATGACGTCACTTAGAGAACTTGAAAAGCTCTGTATGTAATCACTGGAAGAATTGACTCCAATAGACTGTAACTACTTTTTGCCTGAATAATAACATTAAAGAAACATAGGTCACTCCACATAAGCTCTAAGATGCTGTATATCAACCTACATTTATTTCTGCGTTCACATGTGTGTTACTTCTTGGCTTAACTGACTTTAATTTGTGCCCGGGAGGCTGTAAGTGCTGTGCCGTCAGCCTGAACAGAGCTAAAAGAGTGAAAATTCACTAAAGGCACAGGAGGAGAGAGACACCAGACACCAAAAACAACAACAACAACAACAACAACAACAACAACAAAACCCCAATCCCCCCCAAAAAGTGTTCTCTCCATCACCAGGTGTTACATTAAAATAGGGAGCTCAGGTCTACAAGGAGGGAAGAACTGCTCCATCTCAAATAGCAGAGGAAAATGTGACAGTAAATACACTGTGATCAAGATAGATAGAGAGATCACGACAATACAAAGGAACTCTACCGCCAGTGTGACAACACATAACTTTTGCCTGTAGGAGTCAGTGTTGGGCAAATGTTGAGCTAAATAAAATGAACAAAGCTTAGAGTTTTGGCTCTCCATCACTCCCTCTCTCAACTGCCTCTGGCCTGATGCTCCCTTTCTCGATGCCCTGTCACCCCAAATTAGCTTTCAAATATAATTACTGTTATCAATATTAGTGTTTTTTATGATTTCTATTTTATACATTTCCCACAACCCTGTCAACCTTCAGCGTTGTGATCCCCAAACAGAGTGACAACAACAAAAATTAAGAAACTGCTGTATATGTAACATATATCTAACTGCTGAAACATGCATCATGCCTTATACAATTCCTCTGTCATTACATGCAAACTAAATCCAAACATTACTCTTGGCTTTCAGCCGTTTAGCATCATATTCTTACACTGGATTATAAATCCTTGATTTCAACTGCTCTCTTTCTTTTTTTCAAGATTAAAGAAAAAAAAAATGACAGAAACAAGCTTCATTAAGTTTAGTAACTACAGTAACAGCACACATGGAGAGCTGTAACACTGCACCACAGGAACAGATCCTCTGCATTATTTTATCACGCTAACCTGTGTAGTGTATCATTTAGAGCTGGATACTACCTTCAGCTGTGCAGAGCTAATTTAGACAAAAGGGCATGTGCATAAAGCCACATAGCGAGGAAAAGAGCTACTGTGGAGTTCAATGCGTACAAGACCTTAAAGAAGCTGAAGAAGTTGTGTCGTCCATCTCGTCACTGAGATGTGGAGGATTTGAAAGACTTGAGTGGAAAAGTCATGCTACAATCTTCAGGTTTACAAACAATCTTACACAAGGATCAATCCATGCTAAGTGCAGAAAAAAGAGGTATAGTATAGACACACGAAAAAGTGCATTCCAACTCAAATGTCATTGTAATGACAAGGGTAGGCCAGAAATTAACTTCACTCCAAAAGTGGTTGCACCCTCCCAGCGCACAGGCCAGCCAGCGCTAATTAATAAAAAGCTTTGCTTTCTCAAAAACAGTGGTTTGGAAGTTATAATGCAATTGGTGTTGTTGCTACCACTCAGTCATCTGGTCAGTGGAAAAAAACGTAACCATGACGTGAGTCCCGATTCAGAGAAAACACCTTACTCTAAGGCCAGCATATTCTACTATACTAAAAAAACATTTAAAAGGCCATTTGTCTGCATGAAGTAAACAGAAGGCCAAAGGATTTTGCACAGGCAATCGTCTTAAAAATCCTTCAATAAGAATAATAGCTGAAGATGCATGAAGGATCACCACAGAAAATTTTACAGTTATGATCATGGCCATTGTCTACAGTGTCCTTCATGTCGCTGACTGCAGAACCAGTCTGCAGCTTTAAACTAAGAAGCTGCTAAAATCCCACTTTAGTTTCCAGTTTTGTCCATCTATAAGGCACCTGGACCAAGATAGGCTTAATGGGGACATACTAACCATTAACACCATTAAGACAAAAAGATTCTATGAGAAACTTAAAAGTAAGTTAATCAAAAACAGTCTTTCCTCTTCTTCAGGTCTCTTTTCTAAGTTCTCAAAGCCATGCATTGGGATATTTTTAACTATCTATGAATTTATTCAGGATATGTGTAATCCTGACTGAAATATGCTCACTTTCACTCTTTCTGGAGATGAAACAGCTCAGTTTGCACTTGAGTCTCATGAGGCCCTACTCAACTTCTACTTCAGGAGCTGACAATGACTTTGCACGGTAGAACAGACCAGATGTCTCACACAATCTATCTATCTAGTGCCTGGGTAAAGCTGAGGGGCGCAAACCCACAAATAGAACAACGTGCTAATAGAAATTCATCAACACATCTTTTTTCTTTTTTTTCCCTCCACAATCAGTACGAAAGCCTGACAAAATTAGCACCCTCAACAGGAAAATCAGATTTGCTCTCATATGCAGCAATATACTGAAAAGTTTCTTGAAACAACGATCACGCCTCCGAATTCAATATTGATTAACGAAGCAACGTAGATCACGTTGTTTTTGAATCAGAAAGCAGCAAAAAAAAAAAGGTTTGTAACTGCTGTGGGTTAAATCAGACAAACCACACAATCTAAATATCAATGACCTATTATGACCTCTTACAGACTGTTAGTAAAGGAAGAAGAAACAATAAGGGTTAAAATGCTCCTATGTCAAAATTTAAAACCCCTCCTTAAATTTCTCCATTCTCTTTGCAGGTAAACACAAAAAAATACACAGATTCTTGAGTGTGTTCTTCCGAACACTGTCTTACTGTGTCTTCAGCACCATTTTCAAATTGAGCAACAGAAACGAAGGCAATGTTCAGAAGTGACGGTTTTTCTCCTGACACCACAGATTAGAAACACCACCCATCCAAAGGATTCAAATATTTTTCTGCCTTCTTCTTCTCCTACAATCACTTTCACTTCTCTCTTACATCCCTTCTTCCTGAAAAATAAAAATAAAAAAGAAAGAAAGGCAGGAAGGAGGCAGAAATAAATTGAAGAAGAAGAATCACAGCTTTGGTATTAATAAATCTGGTGATATATATAGTTGTTGTTTTGTTATAAATGCACTAATAACACTGCAGGTGCTGAAGTTTTTTTTTTTTTTAACACTGCAAGGATTGAAGTTATACTGGCAATCTCATCAAATGAAAGTATAGTGCAGAAGACACAGGCCTAAAATCCATTAGTGTGAAAGATAGTGTCAGGGCCCTGAGCAGTGCTGCCCCTAGTGGCGTAGGGGTATAAAGGCAGGCTGGCTGAGGTGCTTCAGTGTAACATAGTGGTCGTGGACGTTACAAGCGCAGTTGTTTAATACTGAATCCATCATTCCTCCATGGCGGAGGTATCAAGTAAGGCTGGCCCTCTTTGCCCCTATCATTGCTGTGGTCATTCGAGGGTTTCGAGCTTTTTGTTTAGTTTTTGTTGTTTTTTTGTGGCTTGGTGTGCGCAGCAAAGGATTGGGAAGTGCACGGGTGGGTGATAAACACCAAGAACCACCACTTCGGGATCACCGAAGGCTATGATCAATCCTCTTGACAGGAGCATTTTAACGTACTAATTGTTTTAGAGTTCCCCCTTGCCAGCAAACCTCGGCTCTAGATTTACAATCACATCTCGCGTGGTTGTGACGGCAATCATCAGCTTCCTGGAAGTAGTATGCGCCATTTCACCTGATAAAAGTTTCCTAGAAGGCGCCAAACATAAAAAAAAAACAACAAAAAAAACAATGTTGGAATAATAATTACATTGTCAGTGTCAATTCCTGGGAATACAGTGCTGGTTTTTTTAAGGGGGTGGAAAATGGGCATAGGTCTGTGTGTGCATGCTAACAGTCTGTATAGAAGTGAAGGCAGAGGTAAGCTCCCCCAAGAGAAGCCGCAGTGGTCAATGTGTAATAGTCATTAAGGTCAATGTGAAGGATGGAGACTGAGAGAAATAGAGAGCCCTTGCTCCCAGTCCAATCACTCACGCGGCTTAGACACTGTGAGTGCTGGTGGAGGGACCGAGCTCTTCTGGAGGGACAAAAGGGGCTGCACTGCAACCTCAGGCCATTATCAAACAGGGCGTTTGGGAAGCACTCAACTTGGAAGCATCACTCGATCACAATATACCGCACACATACAATCACACCTCCATGCACATACCCATGAGTTGAATCCACACGTGTCACACAGGATAGCAAAATGCATTTGTGTGGTCACCCACACTTATAAAGAGGCACATACATTCCCCCAAACATGCTGACATCCAGGCATATTAGCTCTGAGGGTCATTTATCCACTAATAGAGGGGTTCGTGGTAATTCTCCTCTATATGTGTGGAGGTGGATGGGGAGGTGCAACTTTCCAGGTTGGGGCGCTTTAAGAGACATGTGGAGAGGAGGATGGATGCCTCCAGAAACACCAGCCCCTTTTGGTGTGTTGCTTGCGCAAGATCTCTTCTTCACGTTCACGTTCTTTCTGGGAGCGCAGGTAGCGATCCTCTTCCTTCAGGAACCACACGGGTGGCCAGCGCTGCTTCTCAAAGTGCCTCTGGTTTTCTGCAGAGAGCAGAGCAAAAAAAAAAAAAAAAAAGGCATGAAAAGAAAAAGTCACTGCAGAAAAAAAGCAACATGAAAACTCTCTGTGTCATTTCAAGATGTGCACTGATGGAATTAAAGAGTGGTCGAGATCACCTTTTCTGAATAAATGGACATTGTTTCATTTAATTGGTTTCATTTATTCAGTACGGAAATAACACAAAACTTTGGTTTGGCATTCAAATCCTTTTAAAAAGAAATTATTTTAATTGTGATATAACTGACTGAAAACGTTTTCTTCGTCAAAAAAAAAAAAAACAGTAGGTATGCAGCCTCAGCACTTATCCAGACAAAAAAATATTTCAGCCCTCCCACTCCAACCAAATGTTTGTGATGATCAAGTCACACTGTGTTGCAGTCCATTAGCAGTGTGTTTAACCCAGAAAATGTACATTCTTGTAGCACTGCAAAGCAAAATAAGGTCCCTACTTTTTTTCACTGAGAGAAAAGCTACGTGTCTAAAAGGGATTTGAGGGAGGCAGTTTATTCTTTACCTGGAGATATGGCCTTCATATCTTTGGGAAACTTGCGGCAGATGCTGTTATAATTAGTACAGATGTGATGGAGACACCAAGCTGATAGCTGCTTTGCGTTGTGGAACTGCAAAAAGAGAAGCAGAGAAGAAATGAGGAGTTACAGAGCTGAAAAAAATAGCATCACTATAAAAATATGGATTCCCCCTTTAGCGAAAATGAAAGTAATTCAGCATCATTAATGAATTATAAATAATTTGTTATTTAAAGGACAGACCTGTGCAAGTTCAAGGTAAGCCAACACCTGCCCATCAATGTCAATTCCTTTCACTGCCAGTCGGAGAAGCTCATCCACAGCGTGCTGCTCTGAAAATGCATACAAATGGAAACAATCATGTCAGTATTTCCCATTTGCATGCAGCACTTGCACATGGATATCTTTTCTCCCAGTCCTAAATTCTTAGTCTTTAAATCTGCTCTAGATGCAAACAGAAGGCTATACGTAAAAATGTTACAGAGTCACTGATAAAAGGAGCAAAGTGCAAGTGATAAAACACTATCAAACGCACGTTCTGTCACATGAAGTGAGAACATGATATTTAAATGAGAGGACGTTCCTTCCTGTGCTCTCAATATGACAGAAAGGATCCCTACCGGTGAGGGCGACGAGACGTGGCAAACAGAGACGGTTGGCCAGAACGATTAGTTCCATGGGCTCCAGACCAGGACAAGGCGTCAGGAGGCCACAGTACAGGAACTCCAGCACCCCTCGCATACAGGCTGTACTGGTGTTAGGGATGGAGACCTGGAAATTTATCATATAAAGGGTAAACAGATCAAAAACAAGGCATGAGATATAAAAAATGCATTGCAGACATTCATTTTCATTAGATATATCCCAGCGGTCCCCAACCCCGGTACCGGTCCGTGAGTCGTTTGGTACCGGGCCGCGAGAGCTGAGGCTCAGGTGTGAAATGTATAGTTTTCAGGGTTTTTATTGGTTTTCAGCGTTATTTTGTTATCGTTTTTATCGTTAATTCGGTTTTCCTGGGTCTTTTCACGTGTGTTATGAATAAATCTTATTTTTTTCGGTACCGGTACTAGTTTTATTTTGTTGTATTTATCCGCGACACCTTAAAGGCCAGTCCGTGAAAATATTGTCGGGCATAAACCGGTGCAAAAAAGGTTGGGGACCGCTGATATATCCTCACATGAGTAGTCCTTATGTCAAAAAACACTGCATATTTGTATGTGTCTTCTGAACTTACAATTTTTGTGTTACGACAAAAAAACATGTTGGCAAATTCTGACATGTGGATTGTAATGTTTAGTAAAGGGTAAGGTTTCAGTAATACCAATGAAAGCAGCGCTGTAGGTATCTGGAGGTAAAGGGCAGAGGACATACTGTTCGCATTCCCTTTGATCTTGGCTCACATGAGGGCTCTATCTGGCTCGTGATGTAAGCAATAGGGCTAAATCCAGATAAACCCCACATACATACAACCGTGCAATGTGGTGCACAGGGAAAACACAAACCTAGCCTCAATGTGCAGACTAAGACACTGACACAGATGAGACAGACTGTGGCAGCGTTCGTCAAAGAGATATACTATGTAGTTCATCTCATTTAGCCACACTCTGTTCTAATGATAAAATAATCTATGACATTTTATCTACTAACTGTTATCAACAAGTTAAGCTAATAATGAGAAAAAATAGCACTCCAGATTCTCACACTTAAAAAGCAGCCTAAAAAACAAGATGCTTTAGGCTAATGTTTATAGTTGGGATATGGAGTCTTTTTCTTAAGCTAATTCTTAAGTAAAATGTTCAGCCATATTGACACTGACGCTGCCATAACATCACTTAGACCTGACCATGCTCCTCCTCCACCACTTTTCGGTGGTAAACAAACACATAAAAGCAAAACATCTTAATTACTGCAAGGCTATAACCAGATCCACAAACTAGATGACCGTCTAAGCCTGGGAAGGACAGGAGGAAGGATTATGAGAGTGATAACCTGACCTCTTCAGGAGCACTCTGCCTCAGTGTACCCACTGAGGCACTCACCACCCTTCACTCCTATAGCCAATTAGGAGAATGTCAGCTTAGTGTGACCTGTCGTTATGATAAAAAAAGACACAACGTAGAGCTATGGGTGGCCTCCCAGCTGGATCAGGAAGAATTAATAGATGGACAAAGTCACAGGTTCCGAAAATGTATGAGTACGATCTGTCGGCTCTACTCTTGCCATCATAACTGTTCATTTGTAAGTTTAGTGAAATTTGCAATTACTTGCAAAGCTGCAATGACTAAAAATAAAAGTGCAAATGACACATTCAGGCATAATTTCAACCCTACTCTTCCTGTTATATACAAAAAGGTAGTCAGGAAAAAACAGCGTGCAGCATCACCATAAATGTGACAGAAAAGGGTTAAAAGGGAGAAATTTTTTTCTCACAGTTAAAAAAAAGGAGTATGACAGAGCTGCAGAGGCTCTCACACTTGATAGACTAGTCTTTTCTCAACATGTAATACTCCACCAGGATACACACTCCCAGGGTGAACACAAAACCACAGACACACACCTAGTAAGTAATCCATGGGTGTACCATGACACAATCAGCGGTCTATCCACAGACACAGCAAACCACAAGAGGTGTCTTTTGACTTGTGCCTTTTGAACAGTACACAATAGAGAAAATTACACCCAGATCACCTTTGAATTCACAAAGAAAAGAAAATCCTTAATGTATGAAATCATTGTACCAATGTTATACTAAAACCAATGCCACAAAAAGTGATGGGGATTTTAAGCACATTTTTTTGTGAGACTCAACTTAATGCTGCTCTGCACAAGTCAAGAATAGCTGTGCAATCGCAGTGCAGCATGAACACCGAAATGTGTGAGCACAAAAATACAGAGAGGGAAGTGTGCCATGGGCATAAAAATAGAGAAACACATCTCTAATCACATGATGCTCTCCCACTTAGAGTTAGGGATTATTAATTTATATATATTTCACAAATATATAAAATACTTACTTCAAACTAATGTGATGGTAACATGATAAGGATGTTTATTAGCAATGTATTGCCTGTATAAAATGTATCTAGTAGATGCTAATAAATGTACATTGTGCATTACCTAAGTTTGAAATCAAAAGTAGCTTTTGGATAACGATAATGTATTATCACCAGATTAATCAGATTCTTTCTTGTCACATTCAGATTTTTAAATTCATTTTTATAAAAATATCACATCATGTTAATACGTATGTCAAATGTGCTCAATGTTCAGGACGATGTGACTAAAGCTAGATCATCTGCTGTTTCAGGGTTGAGCAGTTGTATTGTGTCATGCTCTTAAAGTTCTGCTTCTATTTAAAGACCAGTGTTTGGGGTTTTTAATAGTGTGGTTTAGCGTTCACTTCATATGCGCAGCTCACAGGAAGTAAGACACATTAGAACATGGTAACTTATGGTCTTGTAGCAAATTTGAAAGAAGCAACTTTAAAAGTCAGCAAGCAAAGCAAGAAGTGCACCATCCTGGTGAGATAAACAACAGCTTACAAATTAGGAGTAAAAAAACAACAACATGTATTTAAGATAAAGCAAATCAGCAAGCAAATAAAATAAAATAAAACAAAACAAAACAGCTGTTCATAAACAAAATTGCTGACAGCATCATTGTCCGGTCAGGCTTTGAATCTTTGTGTCCAGACCACCTGTCCTCTACGTGCTGCCAGCCTCATGCCATTAACATGAACTGTTTAGTGTAACCATAGACACCAGCAGCCCACCACCAGCAGCAAACACTGCGTCCCCTCACTGATCCCGATGTCCTGTTTTCACTAGTGAAAACAATAGCTGCAATGGTTGTTTTTGCACACAGACTCATGTGGTGTGTTCCAGAAAGAAATCCCATCCATCTGCATGTGCAAACAACAAAAAAAGCAATGCTTTTCTTGACCACAGCTTTATCTTTACAATTGCTTCAGTTCCAGAAAACTTCCAGAACTTCCAGGGGATTGGGTAACCTAAACCTGCTGACCTTGAGAGTAACCATACCCAGTGGGATCTGGTTCAGCAACACTGTCCGAGGAGTATCAACTCAATGACAGCCTTTAACTTCCTCTCTGGTTATGTCAGACACATCCTGCACCCAGTAACCTCCTGAAGCTAAACCTCGGGTGATTGCAGCATAAGAAGTCTGACTAAATTTTACTACCCAGAAAAATTTTATGAGAATTTCCCTGGGGCTCACATAACCAGAGAGGAAGTTAAAGGCTGTCATTGAGTTGATAGAAGATGAGAAGAGTTAGTGCAAAATGTGAGCCTTCAACCTATTGACACAACATGATACGCTGTGGTTCGCGTCAAACCACAAAAAACAGGAAGTCAGACTCAAAAAGTTCACGTCTGTGTCTTTGTATGACTGCATATTTGTTTTTATGTATACAGGCTATAGACATAAATAGCCAGCTCTAATATAATCAGTGCAAATCATTACATTTTATGGCAAATAATAATGCTTGTATATGAGTTGGGATAAGCCAAGCAGTACTCATGTGCAGGAAATTTGTGTATACGGAGGTGCGGACGTGTGAATTATTATGTAGGTCAATTCTCATGAGCCGTACAGAGTTTCAACCACATCTACAAGTAAGTAAAAGGTTTGTAGGGCAATCTGATAGCATGGCTAAGATAGCATAATAAAGCTGGTTTTCAAAAGTTTCTAAAAAAATAAAAGAAAAAGAAATATCTAATATAGCTCAAGTGTTCTTTGCATCTCTTTTCTAGAGAGCTTATCCAATTAAAGGTTGTTGGATCATACCTGCTACAAATGGGCTTTGGTACACACGTAAATACCCTGTTATTATAAACATAAATTATTTAATATTAGTCATGCTATTAGCCATAAACTGGCATTTACAACATTTCTAATCAATTTCATCTAAAAGGTTTTGGAACGTTTCAAAGTGGCCTTAAAAAAGTTTCTTGCTAGTTGTGAGTTACTACTGGGAATTTAGCAGGATTTAGGACACGGACACTCGATCCCTTCTCAAAACTTAAAGGTAACTCCATCCTCGACTTTTTCCCACTTTGTCTGAGCTCACCTCCTCAATGTAACTTTCCATGAAAGAGCCACGGAACATGGCCGCCATCCAGTCGCAGCTGGAGATAAGCAGGGGCTTGTGGCCTGGGAGACAACCATCATCCAGTCGGAACACCACATCTAAAACCGGGGCGGAAAAGAGCGTTCATCTCGTGGTATGCCACAGAAGCCCAAGCTACAGAGGGGGAAAGACGGACAAGGCAGACGCCCAGACACACACAAAGACACACGGAGACAGACAGGAGGCCAGACAGACACACACAAAGACACAGGTAGACAGACAGAGAGATAAATTGACGGGGGGACAGAACAGCTTTTGACATAGAGTAAGGGAAGGAGAGTAGATGCAAGGATCACAGAGAAAAATCCTGTGCAAACAAGAGCTTTGATAGAGGAAATGTTTAAGTGACATGAAAATAAACTAGCTTCTCCACTGCGGTTCTTAACGTGCCACATGTTAAACTACACCTGTCTTTAATTGAACGTTTAATAAGTCATGGGAACATTTCTGCAATTTTTAGATTATTGAAAACTTAGATCCACTAATGTTAATAACAAACACGACACATACAGTATAGAAAGTAATGAAATTGAGCAAGGGTTTGTTTTTTTTGTCAGAAATGTCAGATGTTCACCATTAGCTGGAAACACTGTGGCAACATGCATACACAACAGCTCAGGAGGGAGGGACGACAACACAACACAAATACAGGATACACATAACACCCAACACAAAACAATGTGAAGCAACGGTCAGTCATCAAAATGTTTTGACTGTGATTTTGAAAAACATATGAATGCATTTTGCATAGCAAGTACTACATGGAAAGAGAATGACCAAATGTAACACAGGGTGTACATTTTCAGAGAGTGAAAGAGAGTGCTGTTTCCTGTCTTCGTCACATGGTCTCCTCAACAACCTCTCGTAACCCTCATTCACTTCTCTTCCCCACACAGACACACGTATACCCAAACACAGACAGACACAAAAACACATACTGATGCATATATGGAAAGCATATACAGTACAAAAAGACCAGTGTTATTGAAAGCATCAAGCCAGTGAGCGGATGGCATTGTGGTTTACCAGCAAATGTCCCCTTATTGAGACACTCCTTGATGCGGTTGGCTCTGCGGACGTGGAAGGCCTTGGTGATCTCCTGGTTCATGAAGCTTTCTCTGTTCAAAACATTGGCCACCATCATTCGCAGGTCAAACACCTCAAGTAGCTCCGCGATGGTGGCGACCTGCATCAGATCTCCTCGACCCTCATCCAAACTGCCGGTGTATAAGTACTGAAGCACAGCCTAGAACAAAAACCAATCAGAGAGGTCAAATATACAGAGCTTTGGAAAAATGAAATCTTTGTTTGTTTCTTTGCTTCTTTTGATTATCTAAGGCTTTAGACTAAAATAATGGTGCAGAATATCTCACATATTCCGATCAATAAAATTATTTTCTCAGTAACAGTGTTTTAACTTTATCACCTTGAATGGCTCCTCCTGTATAAGTGCATCCATGGCTACCACAGTCATGAGTCGTGGGTGTCCAGTCACGGGATCATCTATGTGCTCCAAACAAACACTCAAGAACCCCCTTCCCCATCCTGAAAGTGCTCGCCCAGTCCCTAGTGCTCCCAGGGAGTACTGGGCTCGAGAAGGAAGTGCATTATCACTCTGGGAAGTCCTCAAAGAGCCCTGCTGGCGCAGCTGGGGTTGATTCAGGCCTCTCACTCCTCCGTCAACCCCATCTTTATCAATATCTAGGCTCTTAGTACGTCCAGCTTGCTCCTTGGCTCCTCTCCGGCTCTGCTCGTCTTCCTCCCCGCTCTCCGATTTTTCCTTGCTCTCCTGTTCCTCCCCCCATGGCCCGGTACACGATCCACCGAGATCAAGGGTGAAGAGGTCATAGAACTTGGAGCAGGATGTAGCCAGATAGACTTTGTGTGCAAAAACTCGAGTAGTGCCACTTTGCAGAAGGAAAAGAACATCCGCACACAGTGGCTGACAGAAAAGGGAGTCGGGGCCCTCGCCGTCTGTTAGAGGCGGGTCTGGGATGCCCACTATGGGGCGTGGTGGCCGAGGAGGCAGGAATGGCGCCTGGAGGAGGGGCCTCTGGACCTTCTTCAGGTGCGACTTCCAGAACTGCAGATGTCGACGGGAGATAAGGGCAGCACGGATTGCATTGTCAAAAACATCTTTGACACCGAACTGGGCAACGATGCTGGTCTCATAGTAGGGAATACCAAGTTCTTTTGCCACCTCGTGGCCTCTCTCTGGAGGAAGGATATCTGTAGGTTTGATGGGTCTGTGAGTGAGAAAGACATAAAAATCATAATGATGACAGCAGTCAGATAAAGAACCGCAAGCAATATAATTAGGTGCACAAAACAATGCTATAAGAAAGCGGTATTCATCTCAGTGCTAGTTTTAAGAACAGCTAACATGATGTCGCTGATGACATCAGTGCAAGCCAATCTTTTTCAAAAGAGCAGAAAATTTACCGTTTTAACCGTTTTAACTTTTCTTCACAACACAAAGCAAAAACGCATTAAAATTGCCTCATTTATGGTGATTTAGTTCCTGCTGCTGATTAACCAGGCATGCACATCACATGCACATCTCACTGAAGCCACAGGGTCAAGGTTCCCTCTAAACCCGTCTGTTAATGCCTAATGTAAAATGCAACTCACTTGGCTAGCGGTCGGCGCGCCCGGTTAACAGCATCCAGGTCGGCATAGCGCAGATCCAGCTGGCAACCAACCAGGATGATGGGCGTCCGGGGACAGAAGTGCTTGATCTCCGGGAACCACATGGTGCGGACGTGGCGCAGGGAATTGGGATTAGCCAGAGAGAAGCAAAGCACCACTACATCAGACCTAAAAGGGTGGCGAGAGTAGGGGTGAAAAGAATATCAGTGATCTCTCAAAACGCAAAAAGAGAGGAGGGCTGATTTGTTATGTCATGAGCAGAAGATGCCAGTCATCAGAAGACATGTGGTCTTTGATGGCATCAAGGAGACAGAGATAAAAAAAAGGAAATGAAAAGGATCGGTGCTGATTCAACGGACGTCTTGTCAAGTTTATGCTTAAAACATACATGTGCGGATGAAGCTTTTTTGAGCTGCTAACAGGCACTGCAGGAGCATGGACGGTGCCAGTGAGAAAGCTGGGGTCAGAAGACATGTGTGCGCGGGTGGGTCTGTGTGTCTGTGATTCTGGGCCTCTGGGCTGCTGATTTGTCTGGCCTGCCCCTCTCTCTCTCTCTCTCTCTCTCTCTCTCCCTCTCCCGCTCTCTCTTACGTAAATCTCCATAAGCCCTTCAAGGCTACATGGACCACAAAGAGAAAGCTAAGAATAGATCAAAATACACATGCACACGCACACACACACACACACACACACACACACACACACACACGCATACATGGAATTTCATTTTCTCCTTTTCTGATGTGTTTGAGCAGGCAGACGGCAGCACTTACAGCTGTTCTCCAGAGTTGAAATTTCTGTGACATGTTGGTGCAGGCATTTCTCTTACTAGGTAATGTTTGACTGAGCTTCGTGCCAGCGGGATGGATCATTTAGTGCCTGTGCAATGCTGAAGAGGCAAAAATGCTCAATTGCTAAATGATCTGCTCCTCACAACAGCGCAACAACACAGGACTTCTGATCCCAGCAGCACAAGACTACTAAAGACTTATGTAATTTATCCACTAGATTAAGCATCGCTGATAACTTGAAGATAATTAAATATACATATGTTCCAGTTTTTGTCAGGCACACATTGTTCATCAGACAGTGGGAGAAAAGCCCATTAATGAATCTGAGAGGATCATTAAATGCCACTTAAACTTGTCTATTTCCTTTGGCAAAATACCTTTGCTCCAGAAAATATGACCCACTTTAATGAGCACACAAAGGCAGCACTGTAAGAAATCCAAATATACTCTGACTACTTGACTAAAATGTGAAAATCTTTTAACAGGAAGCATCCTTGAAGAAGAGGGACAAACAGCTTAATTTACAAGTAACACACAAAGGCAGCTAACCTGACGTCCCCTCTTCTTTAAAGGAAATGAAACCGAACTGCACTAAATCAACTGTGACATTTTCGGCAGTGCAGACACGGGTTCCATAGTCCTCTTTACTTTCACTACATAATCTCTGAAAAGCTTCTACTGGCAAGGATGTAATATACAATACTGAAGTATTACATCACTGCTCATGCTCTCTCTCTCTCATACACACACACAGGAACTCCCATTTGCACTTTGCACAAGGATCATTGCCACGGCTTAGGCTATTTGAGGTCATGTTATGTGTACATGCATCGGATCTCGTGGTTTGTTTGTATGTTTTTCCATTTAAGATCCAGGTCTTGCTGCGTGGTCAACTTTACTAAAGCAAGTGGCACCATATAAATGCAAACTGTAAAGTCTTTTTAATTTGTTCATAACAAGTTGTAGTGTCTTCGTTAATGCTGTTGCTGGACTGACAGGCGATCCTATTAACACTACAAACATAATGTAGATTATGTAACTAATCTAGAATATAAAAATTGTCAGTACATAATGGCTTATGACACATTCAAATATAAATGCATAAAAATGTGTTTTCTTTTTGGACACGTGATATATGGACCAACAGGTCATCCTTTATATGGATTATATTTTTCCCCTATCTGCATTTTGTGAAGACCTGCCCCAGTCTGCCTCTAAATGTACAAACAAAGTGGATTTGTATCACACTGGCAAATCATGCTGGAAGTGCTTCAATCTCTAACTTTTTGTTTTTTTAAATTTCTGAATCTCTGCTGAATGAAAAACTTTTTAACTTGACCTATTTTCACTCTGTGTTTATTTTCCCAAACTGAGTGTTCCTCTTCTAACAAGCCATGTGACAATCTGGGTATCATTTGACAATGTGATGTTTTGAGTTTTGATATCAACAAAAGGCTGGGTTAGGAGGTAGCAAAGTGTCAAGGGCACAACGGAGCCTTATGATGTAAATTCGGTTAAGGTAATGAGAGAGGAGGGGGAGGTGAGGTGAATCAGAGGAGCCTGAGGACAGGATGGAGAATAAAGCGCGGCTCAGATGAATGGAATGGGAGAGAACGAGGATGAGTGGGAGGGGAGCCAGTGACACCGGGCACGGAAAAACAGCTGAGCTGGCGTTGTGTTTTTATCAGCTGACTGCAGGCTGACAAAGCATACAGGGCATGCAGACAGACACATGCACACACGCACGCACACACCAAAACATATACAAATAGAGGCATATCAATGTGCATATGTACAGACACTTTGGCCTAATTTGTATCATAGCAGCAAAACAAGAACAAAATGAACAAATGAACTACATGCTACTTGACAATAAACACACCTCAATAAACACCTCTCACTCAAACACACCTGACACAGGGACAAGGTGACCTGATACACAAAGTGCATACACCAGCCTAATCAGTGTGATCCCAGAGTTTGTTTGTTTTTTATTAAATTACACTAAATTGCAAAACAGATCTAAAACAAATTCACATTTTCTGTCTTTTTCTTATTTAATGGTTCAGGTTTTAAAGCGTAAACCATCTGAATCTGGCCTGAGACATTCTAAAATAAGACAACTCGCCAAAGAATATCTTAAGGAAACTTTATTTTAACAAAACGAAGGCTAATGACCGCAATGACTCGGCACTTCTGTTTAACTTACCTTACGTATGACTGAGGGAGGGATCTGGGTTTTTTTGCTTTTCTTAAGGATCTTTTTTAAGGATCCACCCATTGTTGGTAAAACATACAGCAGAGTGCAATATAGAGTACAGCAGCCTTTTTAAGCATGGTTAAAATGTATCCTCTCTTTTTTTTATTGTTCAGTTTGATGTCGCTGGCCAACTTTTGCTCGGTGTGAATCGAATTTCTATCTGCTGAATTTTGCTTTGGCAATAAGTACTTTTGCATTTCATGCCAATGAAGCAGCTTTGATAGAGGCACGGGAAATAAGAGGATGTAGCGATGATCCAATCACATCTGAGGGAGGAGGGATGTAACAGCTTGAGAGCAGAGTTCAACTAAAAAAGCATGGCAGCTGGATTACACAAAAAGCAACTTTTGGGTGAGGGAAAGTTACACTGACATGTTTCTGTGGGTGTAATAGATTGGTTGCATTCTGCTGAAGAAGCCAACAATGAATTTGGTGATATGTTAGCCCACGTAAATTGTGTTAATGCCTTACAAACTACACAGCCAACACAAAGCAATTCCTTGGCAGCGCCAATTAAAATGGGAAACTAGAACAACACGCTTTAAGATAGTTAACCTTGTGGTCAGCCAACAAATGGTGTTACTGGGTCAGTAACGAAGTTGGGGCAAGCGGATAGCTTCAAACGGTGTTTGTGTGTATATGTGTGCGTGTTTTTTTTCACTGAGTGTATCTGCTCACCTGCCATAGGCAAAACGTCTGTCTTTGTGATGATCCCCGAATGTGTCCCATAACCTCAGAGACACACTGACTTCATCCACTACATCACGAGATCTCTCTAACACCTGCAACACAGACAAATATTTCTAAGTGGCCTGCACAACATTTTCAGTGTTGATAATCTTTACTTACTTTTTATACATATGTGTAACTACTATAGCCTGTGTTTCGGTCTCTGTACAATGCCCAGAACTGTACCCAAGTCTGTCTATGCAGCTCTTTCTGAACTGTGTTTGACTCTGTGTGCATGTACCCACCTCCTGGCATACACGGTACTGGTCGATGGCCCAGACGGTTGGCACGTGGGTGGCAAGCAGCTGATACTGTGTGAGGGTGGCATTGCAGGCCCGGGCACAGATTAGCCTGGTCTTGCCTACTGCATTATCCCCTACCACCACACATTTAATGGTTTCCACATTGGGCCGCTCATAGTCTGTGTCTATATCCATGGAGAGGGCCCTGGAAAACACGAGAGAAGAAAGAATCAAAATGAGAAGTGGTTAATTCAACAGTCATGAAAAACAAAAATAAAACAGCATTTGATAAAGAACCACAGGAAGAATGACACTGCATTTTGACACTGACAACAACATCAGGCACAGTAGCCGCTAGCTGTCGCCCAGCCCAGCCTAGGGGAGCTTTGTTAAGGATCTAAGCCCCCATAGCTGTGCTGCCCAGTGTATTCAGGCTTCTGCCAAACCCCTCAACAGAACACATGGTTCACAGGCTGAGCAAAAGAAGGACCACAGAGCTATTTCTGTAACAGCACAGAGAGAGAAACATAGAGAAGGGGGAGGAGGTGGATGGACAGAGGAAGAAGAACGAGACTTCCCTGGAGTTTACTATTCTTTTCTCCCCCTTTCTGCTCCTCTTTTGAATCACTCAGAGCATTTTCATTTTAGAGAAAACATAATACGAGATGATGAAATCTAAGTTGGCTGTGCAAAAAAAAGGAAAGTATAAACCCCCAGACCTTTCTAATGAGCATTTTTGGTCTTTCATGCATCATCATTCGTCTTCTCTTGGCGTGGCAGCCATGTATGACCACCTGTCACCTCTGTACTTAACCTTGGTGCAAAACGGAAGTACTGCACAGGTCACCTGACTTCCTCTTTTAAAACCAAACATCACTCTGAAAAGCTTACCAAAATCCCCTTTCCATAAACTGCTTACAAACATTTCTGACATGTCAACACACATGTTAATACCCATTTTAAAACTTTCCTGGAGAAATCTGTGCTATTACAAAACCGACACCACTGCCACCCCACACCACAGACGCAGTTCAGTCTGTAGCCAGCTAATCAGTCCATTCGGGGTTGCGACTTATTCAAAACCCAAACCAAGGCCCCCGTAAATAGAGCATCTGAAACATTTATAAAGGCTCTGGTTTGTTGTTCCAATGACGTGGATGCCAGTGCAACACTTCGGTCCAGCAGTGACAGACACCAGCAGCTAAAAATGGCATCTATTCATCAGACACATGAGCCATGTGTGCGCCCTGCTATTCAGCCATGAACTGCTCTCAGTGTAGCCATACACCTTCACTTCATCTATATCACCGTTGCTTTATTTCCCTCGAGACCTAAGACATCGATTTTCTTTGTCAACAACAACAAAAAAGGCTTGACGTTTTCCAATTTCCTGTCAGAGGGGGGTCCCGTTTACGTCAGCCAGGAAGTACAGAACAGAGATTCTTTTGTTTACCTGAGCTGTCAAAGAAGCAGCTTCCTGAACCCTCCATGTGGATTTATGACTTTCAGAGTTAAAAATATCCTTTTCCCTTGCCACCTTAGCTGTCACACCTTCAGACGCACGTACAACAGGTAGAGGAGAGAGATAGAGAAAGCAATAAAAAGATAGCGCAACCTGGCAGTTACCTAACAGCTTTTTGGCTAATGGTGATGGCAGCAGGCTTCTTAGTGCTGTTTTTAGAAAACTAAACAAGGATAAAGGGCCAACTGTGAATCCTGACTTATTACAAGTGGTTGTCAGCGATATGTGCCAAAGGACATTTGAATTGAGTGTACCAAAAATGGCGGTGACAAACAGGGGATCCAGACGTGATGTACAGTACTGTTAAATCCTCTCTGTTTCCAATGAAACAGTGGATAGCCAGAAAAGAAAGGCAAGATAGAAAAAGCCAGGGAGGGGATTATTAGTATTAGAGAGAACGAGAGGCACTGTCAGCCCAGCATTAGAACCAGAAATTAATGCTACAGGGATCAAAAGGATGGGACCGGCAATAACCAAGGCTTTTCAGAAGAACAAATCACAAATTTTCCTGCTGATGCTTTGATATGTGTGAATATGTGTGATTCCGTAAAAAAGGAAAGAAAGTTAAATACAAGGGAGATATCAGAGTACGGCGTTAAATCCTTTACTACTGGCCTGCAGGACTATTTAAGTCAGCGTGTGTGTGTGTGCATGAGAGAGTGCGTGCATGTGCATGCACGCACTGATATAACCAGAAGGCAGCGTTGGTGGTGGCGTGGACAGTTTCTCAGGGGGATCAACAGTACCTGACTCCCAGATATCATCCTCCATCTGAGGATCTTCACCGAGGCCCCAAGCGAGTTCGGTCATGTGTTGGTTAACAAGTGTAACACAACTGTCTACTCGTACATCACTGCGCTTGGCAGATACACACCTGCTCACAGGTTTATATTTAAACCTCCTAAGCGTTCCTAGACTCCAACAATTATTTTTAATTGCATGACTGGAGGATGAACAGAAGCCAGAGACTATGGAAGCAGGAGACTTGTGCAGCTCAGAGGAGCGGAAAGTGTAGCTGTAGAGCTCAGGTTTCATTTTTAGCCAGTGAACTATAGTGAACTGTACACAGATGTCTAGACTTCATCTGCTGGCCAGTGTGATTTTTCCATGTTAGCTAGCAAAGGTGTCTAAAAGGACAAAGACAGTTTGCAATGTAAAACAATGAGACAATGAGTCACTGTTTTATTTTTTCGCTACGTGTGCATGTTTTTCTGACACTTTTAAGGACATATTGATATTGCGTAGGCATCAGCAGACTGATAGAAACACTGTGACAGGGACTCAAATGCCCACTCAACACACAAACATGACCCTTCTAGTTAATTCTGGAATGTCATGGATTTAGTCGCGTGCATGTGTGCAAGCCTGCATGCCTGCATGCATGCCCAAAGAGACAAGGAAACTCATGCATAATGTGCGTCTTTGTATAGCTTTTCTTTAAGGCCACACAGCTCTTAAAGGAGAAATGAAAGAAGATAAACACATCTTGTCATCTTCCTGTTTAGTTTATCTGTACACAAACTCACTGGCTTGCTTCCAAATCCTTCTATTTATCCTTCTGTCTGTGTGGGTTATTTGTTTTATTCCAGCCGTACCCTTTCTAGCATACTTTTGGACCAGCTGACAAAGTCCCTCACTTTATTTCCACTCTGCATTTATTCCCTAAATATAATGCTCCAGTTCACATTTCTTCCATCCTTCAGTTCACTCATTGTCTTCTAGTAGCCTTTCTCCATCTCCCTTGTCTCCTCCCACTTTTTCTCCCAACGGCACACTTTCCTCCACCCTTTTTTTTCCAGCAGTGATCTATCATTCTATGACCTTTTTGGATGTAAGTCAAGGAGCAGTATTAATCAAATATACACCCCGCCCCCCCCTCCCCAGTTTCTCTGTTATGTAACACCTATAGTGATCCACTGGCAGTAACCAGTTATCCCAAAACCTTAACACCCCACCCCCCATCCGCCTCTTCTTCCTTGGGGCTAGAATTCATCCCGATGCCAGCGTTGAAGCCGGCTGCCACTGTGCTCTCTTCAACCACTCATGCAAAAAAAAAAAAAGAAGTGAAAAAAGAGTGACCCCAAAAACCACCCATTTAATGCATGGGTCAACACTTGGCCACTCACACAGAGCTATGGGGCTTACACTATCACAGGCTTGGCTGCATACACAAAGTGCTCGTGTGTAATTGTCTGCAGAAACTATTTAAACATGTGCAACCATGTAAGCTTCCTTTTAATAACAGTTGTTTTTGTCAAAAGTTTGCTCTCTTGCAAGAAAAAAAATGCTTACTCATTCATTCTTGTGTATGCGTTTTCGGTTTGTGCACTTGTGCATCTGTGTGTGTGAGTTACAATTGTGTGTTTTGTGGGTGTTTGAGACACTGACAGCCACAGGCACAGCTGCCATAGACTGGTTACATAACCTGGTCTGTAGCCTCTGCTAGGCTCCCAGGATGGCTGACAGTAGACCTCAGACTCACTCACAAACTCGCAGAGTCATGCATACACACATGCATGCCTGCACGTACTGTCTTACCCTTTGCAGATGGTACTGGTATTAATGCACGACCCACGGCAGGCGATGCTATGTATGCATCTAGCCTAATGATTTAAAGGCTGTTTGGGAGCCAGCCGCACGCCAGCTTAGTTGAAAAAGCCTCGCTCCTCTCTCTCTCTCTCTGCTGCAGTAAAGATTTTTAAACACAGACAGGCCAACCCTTGTGTCTCTGAGTTCTCCTATTCATCCCTGCCAGTCTTCCTTCTACTCTTCCCACCACTTCTTTCCTCTCTCATCTATCTTGCTGTCCTTCTTGCTCATTTTCTTCCAATTTCTAGTTCACACCCCTGTACCTTTCAGTATCCACTCCATATACAGGACACTTTTACATCTAGTCTCTCAAAGCATGTCTCTCTTATCTCTCTCTCATCTCTCATGCTTCGTCACCCATTCTCACAATTTTCTTTTTAAGACTATTCTGATTGAACAAACGGGTAAGCTGGCGATTTAATTGTCATTTTCCACTGATCTTCAAAGTGCCATCTGATGGCTTTGACTTTTAATTGCATAAAGAATCCAAACACCACATACAAAATACAGCTGTTATTAGCATAAATCTATTACCTTATCATTGCATACAACTGCATACTGTTTATCTATAGCCGGCTCATTTGAGACTGATATTTCAAATAAATTGAAACATGACACGTTGTCTTTTTTGTACATGGTTTGTTTTTCTGGCAAAAAACTCACAATGTGATTGTGATTTTTTTATGCACCTGAGACAAAGCAAGTACTGTAACTTTAAAACAAAGGACTTGGTGACCTAGATATTACTACAACTTTACTGATGTAGAGATGGATTAGGTTTGTCTGGGAGAAAATAGTCCAGGCCATTCCTGTGGGAATGCAACTGTGGTTTAAAACATGATGTAAAGCAGGGGCTCTCAAACTTTTTTGTGGCTAGTGACCCAACCCCAGCTCTCATGAATCACTTGCTTAGGACTCTTTGCCATCTTTGAATTCTAAAACCTTTCAACTTAATACTTATGGTGCATGTCATTTGACGTGTCACAATCATATTAAGAGTTTCTATTGACCCAAAGATAATTAGGGTGGGAGGAAAGTAGTCCAGCAGTACTAATCTTGTTTAAAAATGCAACATACTTTATATTTTCTGCACCAAAGCACACGTTTATTTACATATAAAAGCAAACCATAAAGCATCTGAGCAATTCTAAGCACTATTTACCTCTGTATATCTTCCACTACAGCTTGTTACAGGGATCAGGACATTCAAGCCTGCCATATAATGCTGGCTTATTCTTCCATGTGGGTTTATCAGCGCTGCAGAATGTTATCTTAAAGCTGTTGACACAGTCGAATGCTTGGGCACAGTGCCTAATCAGGACAATAGGTTAAGCCATTTGAGTATACATAACGACAACCTTGATCTTTGATTCATTACCTACAGTACTGCCATAAGATTTAAGAACAAAATTCTTAATAGCCAACAAAAACACATCTCATCGTCCGTGTGTTAAGGGCGGATGACTGGTAGGACCCTGGTAGAGAGACGCACAGAACAGAAGATCTGATGCAGTTGGTGTTTCCACAAATGGCTCAGCCACAGTCACACAGTGAGCATTATTAGACATCACTTGAGGAGGGAAAAAAAATGATGCTGGCCAAAAGACAAGGATTGCACAATATCGTGTGCATGCCAAAATGTTTATGCAACTAGATATGATTAATTGCTAATGACTGGAAATGAAAACGAAGTAAGATAAAAAAAAAAAAAAGAAACTCCCAGGATATTATTTATTTATTTCCAGGTAGGAGTGAGAAGGTTCTTCATCAGACACGTAGCTACCTCAGATGACGTCATGGCCCACACGCTCTTATACGTGTGTGTGTGTGTGTGTGTGTGTGTGTGTGTGTGTGTGTGTGTGTGTGTGTGTGTGTGTGTCTACGGTCCTACAAGGTCACATTTATCTTCTCGGGCTGCACGTTATCTTTTGTCCCTGCTTCGATCTGCACGCTGTCCCTGTAAATACTGCGGTGTAGGATCCCTACAGTCATCAATGAAAGAACCTCGTGTGCTCCGTCTCCCCGCAGCCATTCATAACCACCTGGCTCATTCATAGTTTCTCATAGAGACCGATTCAACAAATCAGTCAGTCTTGTGTTTTGTCATCAGAGTCTATAAAGATAAAAGGCATGAGTCAATATTCACCGTGCTGCTGTCTCTCACATAACGATGTTATAAAAAAGGGCAGGTACAATCCTACATGCCAAATGATGCACTGATAAGTCTGGCGTAATGTGCTAAGCCCAACCGCTTCACTACAACACAGAATCATAATGTCAAAGGAAAGAAAATAGGAAAAAGAAAAAAGTAACATAAGTCTGCAGGTGTTTTTTAAATAACCCCGCCTTGTGATATTGTAATATCTCTGTCTGAAATATTAATATAACACGTTGAAATAAAACAGGCTCCGTTATAATTACGATGATGTTACAGAGATGGAAGAGGTGATTGAAACATTATGAACAGAAAACAGCTGTCAATGAATCTCTGGAGTGTAAAAGGGAGGAGGAAAAAAAAGATGTTGGGGGCTTTGTGCGGATTGCTTTGTGCACAGCCAGAATCGCAAGAAGAGCATGTGACCGAGTATTCCTGCAGGAGGGGTCCCTACCTTCCGACGGTTCCGGAATTGACCCACATGCCACTCTGCTGGTGGTTGAGCCGGTCACTGAAACCGGACAAAGACGCACGGAGAGGGAAGATGCGATCTCTGCGATCCCGTTGTTTGCCAAAGAGCACAGATAACTGCAGACAGGACCTTTGCCCTATCACATCCTCCTCTTTAGTCTACTTCCCGTCGCTGCCTCCTTAATCCAGCGCCTCACAGAACTCAACAAGAACCAGCTCGCTGCTGCAGACTTAATATAATGCTTTGTTATCTTCAAACTGACACTTTGGAGGATGAAATGCAATCACAACTGGCTGAAAGAGTCTTCTGGTCTGAGCCACCCCCTTTCTGTTGTTGTTTCCCCGGCTGATTTCATCAGAGGCACGCCTCCACGACTGCGCGTCACGACACAAGTCTTCCAACTTCTCCTTTGCTGCGTTCAAGTTCCGTTGGAAAATTAGACGTTTGCACTCCATCTTTCTGAGGCTTTAGACACACAGCTTGATATCCCGCAAACTGACATTTTTGGAAGAATACTTGAGAATACGGAAGACGTCACTGATGACTAAAAGTGGAACTTTTGAGCTGTCTATTGATTAAAATAGGAAATTCTGCAATTAGCGTTTTTTTCTTTACTGCGCTGTGTGATTTCTGTGAATAAGAACAACTGTCAAACAGCTCCGGGATGACCATTACCATGCAACAGTGGCTGAGGAATTTAAAACGCAATTTAAACGCACTAACTTTATTACTGTAATACTTTAATAGCCTAAATCTCGAGGCTTAAGAGGAACACTTAAGGCCCCCTCAGCGATTAGAACACGCGGGCCAATCATGTCCTGTATATATCATCGTATCCCCGCCCAGAAACTATGTTCTTTTCATCCTATTAACGCAGAACGGCCCACAAAGCGTGCTGCCTTTGGCAGATACAGCGCTTGCATCCACTTTGCACTGCCTTTAATCACTACCTAATAATCAATCATAGGTAAGCACGGGGTATTTTTTGTTTTGTTTGTTTGTTTGTTTTTATGTTATCCACGCAACTGTCTGCATGTCAGTGGGATTTAACTACGTTTCCCCTTTAACCCTTGCAAACACGCTCTATCCAGGTAAATAATGCAAGACTGTTATTATTACTCATGGGCAATGGAGAGAAATTTTCTCCTAAGGTTACTCCGGGTTTTCAGGCATAGCAACTACCACGTTGCAACTGTAGCCTACTGCTACTAAAGCCAGTAAAAAAGGAGATCACAGACTGGACCAAGGAGAATACATAGCGTTTGCTATCACATCTTCCAAGATCTCAGTGTCTAAGAATTTACTGCTGGAATGCTGAGCTTTGCTTTGTCAGCAAAATACCTCCAGTTTTCTTCAAGCAAAACTATGTTTAATTTAAACTTTAGCAGGTTTGCTTTCAAGGCAGGAGCTTTTACCAGTCCATCTGCCACTCACTATAGTCATGGGTATAGCTCAAGATAAAAGGTGGATGTGGGATTTCTTTAACATTCAGCATCATTTTATCTTTAACTTATTTGACACACTTAGGATACTGATACAGTCACCAATTTGATCATGTGAATATCTTTGAAAGCCAGTCTGCCAACTTTGTTTGGAGGCTGTGCAAGACTGAAGACGGACATCTACTGGCAGAGTTTGGTACTGTAATCTCTAAAACAAAGGCGGCGCAGGCTCTTACGGCTACATCAAGTCAGTGCTGTCACTCGGAGCCACCTCAAAAGAGGCAGCTTACATCTTTGAGACAGATTCTATATCGCAGGTTAGCCATGGGTGTCACAACATACTGAGTTATATTAAGCATTTTAAAGAGAAGGTCAGTGTGTTATTTGACCTAAGTGCAGCAATCATATATAAAATGTTTGTGTTCGTGTAGATTCTTGCACATCACGCACACATGCAGACACAACGACAACAAACAGGAATCAAACAGGAATTCAGTGCACAAATAGTCAGACGGTACGTCTTATATCTATCTTTCCAATGCTGTCTTGAAGCCCTGAGAAAATACTGCCCCCTGACCTGGCTGGCATGGCCACAATGAAACAGCATGAAAGATGGGCTGGAATGCCATTGGAGAAAGCAGGGGTTCAACACCACTGGCACAGAGAGGGCTTAGGAAATGTGGAGAGCCCCCCCTCCCCTATTTCTTTGGGGGGAGAGGTGTACTTGTGAGAGAACTCTTAAGCAGCACAATTCTGAGGTGATGTCTGGCCCCATTCAGCTACAGTAAAACAAAAAGGACTGTGTTTTGTTAAACAAGCTTTATGGGTCTTTTATTAACTGTGTGGGAAGTTTAGTCCCGTAGCTTTTACACTTTGGTGAGATTAAAGTTGGGAGAATGGGTTGAGATCACTCTTTTGGCAGGAATGCTTCGGCAAAGAGGCGTCTTGCTGCTTGGACAAATGCTCAGTTTTGTCTGCAGTATATTTAGTGCTCCTCTGGTTTAACCAAAGGAAGGAATGGCATGTTGAAATGCATTTATTTCTATATAATTCATTTTGTTTAAGCTTAGTAAAGTTCAAGACTAATATCTGTTTTATTTTAACTGCAAGTAAGGGGTAAGGTTTGCTCTTCAGATGTATTGCTAAGGGATAACAAACAATACATTTTCAAATCAATTCATTTCAGATGTTTACTCATAAAGAAATTCAAAACGAGCATTTTTTGGTAGTGTTTTCTTGCGTTTATCTCATCCCCTCCTATCCACTCCTCCGCTGACCCTATTCTCACCCTCGCCGCACACTCATATATCCAACAGGCCAGCTCACCCCCTGCCCCAACACTGTGCTGGAACTGTTCTAAAGCTGTCAAAACACCCAGCTTCTCACACTCCCTGTGTCCACACAGAGTTCGCTTTAAGTGCACACCCTCCCAAAACTCTAACAAACACACACACTCTTAACAAAAAAAAAAAAACAGCCTATGCAACCTATTCACTGACACAAGTAGGTCAGAGCTCCAGTGGGTCTTGCAAACAGTCCACCATCACCCTGGAACTGATAACGATATCAAAGATTAAATTCTACCTTCGGCACTGACTCACACACACATATCAAAGCACAGACACCAGCAAACATTACACTCCATATGTGGATCTACAGGATGAGAGCATTCACTTGTGTGTCTAGTGGGATGATTTTGTCATACAATTTTGTTTTAGAGGTGAGGGACAAGAAAAAAAGAATGTGGCATTTGCTTCTCTGGGAAGAAAATTCAGATATGAAAGGTCAAAGGTGAATCTGGAGTAAGTGAACGTTAGTGAAACGAGCTTGTGGGAAACTGGCATTTCTACAGTACATGATTGATGGTGGGAAAATATTGAAAAAAAAAAAGCTCATAAATTCAAATATGTCAGTTTTTTTTATTCCCACTGTTAAGCTCTGTCTCTTTTTTCTCTCTTTCCCTCACACAGACACACACATACACAGAGTGGCATGGAGAAGTGGCTGAGTGTTGCCAGAGCCGGCACCCTGGCATGAAATAGAGTGTGTTTTGTAACAGCCGGCCTATTTGGCGATGGGCGATGGCACAGTGTGAGTTTACGTGAAAAATATTTAACGCTAGATAAGGCCTGAGACAAAGTATAAAATGAGGCAGACAGGCAAGGGCGCAAAAGAGGAAGTGAGGGAGAGAGGCTGGAGGAATTGTTTACTTGCGAAGTTATCAGTAATATGCCTTATCATGAGCCAGCTGGAAAACTACATGTGTGGGACCAGTGGTCATTGCTTTATTACACGCTAATGAAGACAAGTCACTGCACTGCTTGTGACCGAACGAGTGAAACCTTTAAAGAAAGCGACAATTGATTGGTCAGAATATATTATAGACTATTAAAATGCTTAAATGGTGTTTTGTGTTAGGGAGACATACTTAGTTATCTTTTATGCCTTGTAAAACAAAAACTAAAAAATAACAGCTATATTTAAACGCACACACACACATACACACACACAAACACACACACACAAACACACACCATGTTGCTTGATTCAGACACGTTAGCATTTTTGAGACTGTTTTTTTTTCTTTTACATGCACACTCGACCACCCCCTCAGTCTCTGGAAGGAATAAATATAGACTAATTTGTTTGAGCTGCTAAATTGCTAAAGTTCAAGTTCTGCAGCAGACCCAATATAAGAGGTAAAACTTTCTGTTGACATACTTGTCTGCAGCTATTATTCCCCCAGTGTCATAACATGTGGGCCGGCAGCTTGTTGAGTCTGACTGCTTGGCTGCAGATAAATGTTCAACGATTTTAATACAGATATATTTCCAGGTCAAGTTTGTGCTGTTGATGCTGGTGGGCCATGATGGTTGAATATGTTGGGAATGTGAAGTGTCTTTAGGACAGGGCGAGAGGCTGGGAAAAGGAAAGAGGAGGAGGGCGGCACCACTGAGGGTTTATTGTGGGGAGAGAGGGGAAGGTCTCTTTGTTTAACTGCCTGCTGTCTGTCTGAGAATAAACAGACCTCTGATTATGATATTAATGCCAACTTAAATGTTTCACAGTGTGGTGCCTGGCTTTCGCAATGAAGTGCCTGGAGTGAAAAAGAACACGGTGCTGTATATTCCTCGCTGTCCTCAACTAGCAGCCCTAGAGTGCCAAAACGACCCAGTTAGAGCAATGCGGCATCTAGCGCACCCAACCACAACCCCATAGCCCATCGCAACCACCGGCAGATCATATTCAAGTCAAGTTACTCAAGTCTCTCTGTGGATATAGTGTCTTTGGCACAGCCTCAAGTACCCAGTACTCAGTTCTAAGTAAAAACACTTCAGTGGCAAATTCCAGTGATTCCATCGGCTTTGTGTTTGCTGAATCGTTTTCTTGTTTTAAATTCCTTGCTTGTAAGCCTGTTTTATCCAAAATCACAGCCTGAGACAAAACAGCAGTGAGTGATAGCCAAGGTGGATATGGGGTTTTGACATGCAGAAGAGTGAAAAAGTAAATTCTTGAGTGGCACAAACCTTCTGCGATAAAGACAGACTATGCATCTGCCTTTGAAGTTATGTACTTCCTGCATTCTGACTTTGGGGGATTGAGGTTGCACAGGCATGGCTTGCTGAGCTCCAGTGCATGCAGTAACAGATAAAGATTTACAAAAAAAAAGTTGGCTTTTGGTTCAATTCAGGTTTACAGGAGTATGTGCATGGACAGACAAACAGCCTCCCTGATGCTCTAAAAAGGCAACCTTAAGATCATATATGAATGCAAGGAAATACACATGTACACTCTCTGCTGGACAGAGACACACAGGTCAACGGAGGTGCCTCTTAAGCTGTAGCTGTCAAGTGCCAGGGCTAATCGTATTAAGGCTCTCTTCAGCCGTTGGTCCGAACTCTTAAAGTGATAGTTCAGTTTGGTGGAAACTTAGCCCTATTTCTAACCTAAACATATCTGTACAACCTGGGTGTTTTTTAATTTTACCAGGGCTGGCAGCTTTTTATATAAGGCGTCTCTCAGAAAACCTGAGCACAGGTTGATACATAAAGAGTCCTTTTTACTAATTTGTGATAAATGGAGCATATATTATGCTCCAGTAAAAAAAAAAATAGATTACTTTAGTTACCATGACAGGTGATGGCTAAGCCGATTAGGACCCTAAGGATTCATAGGCTGTGCAGGTATCAGGGTATTACACTAGTGGAGATGAGTTAGGTACTTAGGTCAGGGGGGCAGCAGGAAATTATGTGAAGCTGGGGTGTGAGATTCAGGTTAAGGAACGACACAGAGACAGATATGGAAATGGGGATGGAGGCTGGGAAGGAAGTAGGACCAGAGCTGGAGTAACTTCAGAAGCTGAGGGCAGAATTTAGGTTAGCACAGGAAACCAGTGTCAGGAGGCTTTAGCCTTGAAGGAGATTGACTCCTTTAAGCAAGCAACATATTTAGCATGTCATATAATTTAAAAATACACTTAAGAATAGAGAACAGGCCCAGGTTTAGTACACCATGGTTGATATGATTGATTTTTATTCTCCTTCCTGCCTTGAACAAGTTTAGTGTATAATCCATGAAAAATTTTCATTGTCAGCTTGAAATTGATATAATCCTTTTGATATACTCTCTTAGTATGCCCTTTAGTAAATCCATCAGCAGGGATCAGTGATGATCTTATCGGGAATTACTTGGAAAGTGTTGTATATAGGATACTGTGTTACTTAATTTTAATAATATTGTGATGGCAGGGAAAGAGTAAGCAGATCGGTTGTTAGAATTACATTTTTATATCCTTTATAAAAGAGGAAACGCCACCCATTAAACAGGCATGGTGCTGCAGGCGTAGCACTTCTCAGTGATCCGTTGGCACATTTACTTAAAGAGATTCTTTTTTTTCTTTCTGAACAAGTGCTGAACATTAGTGTGAGATTACAAGTCCAAGAGAAACCTTTCTTTATCCTTTATCAAATGGACTAAATATTTGTATTTATTGCATAGGTAACTGTGGTTCACGATGGTTGCCTTGTTGATAGTCACTGCAGTAACAACATTATTTGAGAAATCTATTGGCAGGAATGAGAGAAAATGCCACCAAACACTAGAAATTAATGATGCATTGCAAAAGGAAAAAGTATTTAGTGCTTTGTAATAGTTTTATGGGAAATATTTAGGCTCTCTCAGCCTTAACGCGCCCAGCCAAAATGCATGCGAATGCAGATATTTATGTTGTGCAGAGTGCTATGCACTACACCGGGCATTTAAGAGTTTTATTGACCAGCACTTTACAGCAGATCAAAGGATGGAGTCTCTTTCGCAATACATGCAATCTATAAGTGGGTCTTGACATTTTCCCTACTACCCGTGGTAAGGTTAGAAGTATTAGTGACCTCTCTGAACCACATATAAGACTAAACTTTGGAGTGAGGTTAAGATCAGATAACTAACAAGAAAAGGGGAAGAAGAAGGAAACTGGGCCCTTGAAAACTGCATGAATAAAAAGAAAAAAAATATATTTTTGATTTTGTTCTTTATCTTGTACAAAAAGAAAAAAAGGTCCAATTCAAACTGCTAGGTTTAAGAATATTTTGAAAATGAACATTAAATTTAATGTTTCAAAGTTCTAAACTTGTGAGACAATAGGACAGAGAAGGGACAGAGGCAAAGGAAATGCTAAAGTTGTGAGGAGAGAGATGTATTTGGCCTCAGCACAGGTCAGTCAGTATTCTCAAAACAGCCTGATCAAACAGAGAACGAAGCCAAGACAAACACCTCTGGACTTCAGTCTGGCACAGAAAAGCAGAACTGTAGGCCCGCCGAGATCACACTCCACAAAGTCAGTACATCAACCCTGCTCACTCTGCAAAATACTGTGTATCAGAGATTCCTAATCTATTTGGCTTGCAAACACCACAGCTAAGGAAATTCTACCTATGAAAGCCCATACCACAGGTCAAACATGTCGGCTGGATTATGAGTTTTCATTATTTTCTTTTAATAATCAAAAATATTCCAACTGCTATGTGTGGCATTTAATTTGTTAAATTGTAAAAACATATAACTTTGTGTGTTCTCTTTTGAAAACTGAAAGATCCTTGTCAAATATTGTAAATGAGCGTGTTAATGTAACATTTCTATGTTTGATATAATGCACATTTTCATCCTCGCTTCCATTTTTCTTGCAATATCCATATTGCTATCAGCCTAATGCAGTATCCATCTGCTTCTATTTAAAAGACACTTGCTTACATAAAGAAACAGATATGAAGATAGAGGGGAGGGGAAGAGCATAAGTGTAAACAGCAACAAAAAAAAAAAAATCACAGGGAGACTCAGAAATAGTCAGATAGCCACATTACAGAGCACCATGGCATAACAGGAAGGCCCTTTGTTGTGTTTACTTCAAATAACCTGCATATCATTTATCTAGTTGCGCTGCTCTGCAGAGTTCCTCGCATTGTATTAGAATTGAGAAAACAAAACAAAAACAATCGAATTGTTAGGTAAAACCCTTGCATCTGACAGATAAAGCATTTACCTCGATAGCAATGCATTTTTAATTTTATTCAGTTCAGCCCATTGAGTGGGTTTTATAATCCCGAGTGGTCAAAGCATTTTCTCAGGCAGTGCAGGAGGCATGTAATCCGTCAGCTGGCCTGAAATCTCAAAAAAAGAAAAAAAAAAAATCATCAAATGAAGAGATATGATTTTCACCTAAAAGCACTAAATTGGAGTATCCTACACACGCTGCTCGGCTGTATCGCAAAGGAGGTCATCATGCAATCTCCAAATGCAGGAATGTCATTAAACAAGACAGCAAATGTGCGCGCAGAAACAAAGCTGATATCCCGTGTACAGAGGCATCCCAAAATAGTGATGGAAAAATCTATACTAGCGGTTCCTTTTTATTTATTTCCACACCGCTGTGCCATGGCCTGATGATACAACCAGCATGCAATTATCACCACGCACTGTGACCACATGTCATTAATTTGCTAAGCCATAGCACGGCCACACAAGTTTTAATCGTTTGATTAAGGGCGTGGGGTTAGGCTCTTTTGGATGCTCCACCATCAATGATACCAGCTAATCCTAGCCACTTGTGGGCACAGGTCATTTCAACCAAATAAATGTTAAGGTGAAGCACAAAGATATTCTCTTTCAAAGATGAAACTAAAAGACAGCTGACCAGAAAACCATAATGGAGCTTAACAAGACTCAAGAAGTCAATATTTTTGTATAACCTGGCCTCTGATGTTGTTGAGTGCATTGCTATTAAGTATGTTGGGCCATTAAACAGGAATGAAGATAATAAAATGATTAAATATTTATGTTAACTCTGGTGATGTATTCCAGTGGGACAGAGAGAGACAGAAACAAAGACCGAGAATATTTCATTGCCAGTCAGTGCAACAATTTCCAAACTGTCTGCTTTAAGAAGACCACAGGTGATAAACCAGATTTTACTGTCTAACCCTTAAATTGTATTTTGTGATCCGCTGTGTCTGACCTCAACCTACATGACTCAGTGTTTTATTGTTTTTTCCCCTCAATAGATTTAAATGAAGGAAAAGATCTCTGTATTGCAATAACTAAAAATAGAACATGGCTTAAAATGTCTAGCCACACCACATAATATGTGATGAGTCAATTTCCAATTTTCATGAGGAAACAAACCACAGACACTGCAGTCCTGCATACATCGCGTTTGCTTCTATCAGTTATCATATCTGATTAATTTATTCTGGAGTGTGTGTGTGTGTGTCCTTGACTGTGTGAGAAAGCGAGACAGACAGAGAGCCGAGAGAGCATCAGACATGCTGCATCATTCTGAAACAGCAAAAAATTAGGCAGCCCTCGAATAAATGGCACGTGGAGGGCGATCACGGGGCAACAATGTGTTCGTGTCAAAGAAGACATGAGAGGAAACACCTTAAATACAGCCAACCGCATAAGCACAGGCAAAATTACAGATTAAAAATCCTGTGGTTTCATGGGTGGTTCAGCCAAGACTGAAGCTGGTCTGACCTGGATTAGCAGGAACAGCACCCTTGGGTGTTCTGCTCTCTGAAAATCTGCCTTTGGCTATTACTAGACGAGACAGATACTGTATGTATGTGTCAGTCTGTTTATGTCTATACAGTGTGGTTTGGAAATGTTGGTTTTTGGAGTTTAAAAGCTTCACTGTGTGAGTCATTGTTTCTATATTTGTGGGTCTTGTGTTTGACTGCATTAAAAGATTTTTTGGATGCATCCCTGTGATGGGAAAGCTGCTAGAATGACTAAAGAAATAACAGAAAAATCATCTTTACACTGCAAGTGTCCTCTTTAAAACAAGCGGGGACAGAAATTGAGTGGAGGACAATGCTAAAATGAGCAAATATGTGTGCGAAACTTCAGAGAAACTCTCCTTTTCTTTATGTCACTTTCTGTAACCCAAGGAGAGCTTCTGGCAATGTAGGTGCTAATTGGTTTTTGTTTTTTTCCCCCCCATCCTTAGTTAATGAAAGCCAAATTGCTGTTATGAATGGATAGACAGGCAGGAAAGGAAAGATGTGAAAACAAACAGGAAGATAAGGAGACAGAGTTCCAGGCTTGCAGGCATCGAAAATAAAAGACGCTAGAGATTACTGCTGTGTGAGCAACACGAGCTAGATTTATGGAGCTGCGCGGGCCCATTCAGGCCTGGGAGGTGCTTAGAGCGTCCTGTAGGCGATGCAAGGAGACAGCCACACCCACACAACTCCACACATATACATCAATAGCCAAAAGGCAACCTGTTATGATATGCAGTGTCATTTTGTACTGCAGAACACGCGCACTCCAAAACATCATCGCAATTTGGTCAGTCATATGATGCTGGAGCCAGTTCACCAAAAGGGATCGGCTTTCTGCCACAAATGAGAGGAGCAGATGCTAAAGAAAGATTTCCAGGGGTCAAATTGCATACAGCCTTGCACACATGCAAAACTATGCATGCATAATCATGCACAGTTGCACAGGAAGATGTAGTCGTCACAGTGATAGAGCCGTACGACCAGGACACAATCACAACACAAGCATGAACATAAATAGCCAAGCCACCAAATGGTGCCACTTGGTCTCGGGAGAATATCTCGCCATCCTTTCCTGGATGCACATGCAGACACACACGCACCCAAGTTTCCACACAGCAAAATAGAAACAGGACAACAGGTTACAACGAGCAAGAGATGTGATTAAATAGAGAAATGGAGAAACTATAGCATGGGTTGAGGAGTGTAAAAGCAGAACAATCTATATGTGTCTCTGCATGCCAGACTGTCAGAGCCACTGTTAGCTCAAGGCCGTTTCAAATATCAGTCCACTAGTCTTTTTTTTTTTTTGGAAGTTTTTTTTCAGCTATAATTTTAGGTGGCCCTAACCTACCTCAGCTCTCTGGTAATCTGTCATTTTGCAGCCACACAATGCAGTGGCAGGCAGCGTTTCCTGCATGACGGGCACTGAATCCAAGGCACATCTGGAAAAGCCAAAATCTAAAAGTTAAAATACCACAAACAAAATGACTTTTGCAGCATAAAACCTTTGAAACCAAAAACCTTAATCGTATTCTTTCAGCAGTGATGTTGTGTAATATGCCTTCCTATCAGTGCAGCGATCTCAGATGTCAGGCCCTGGCCTCAATCCAGCCTGGAGCTATCTGAGGAACCACAAATGGACAAAGACACCCTCTCTGAATTCAGCCAGCTCTCTTATCTCCTCTCGTTTGATCGTGTGGTCCTGTCCCACCCCGGTCCGTCCTTGTTGATGATACAACACCTTCTTATCCAAGTCTCGCACTACTAAAACATATTCCCTCACGCACCGACTCTCTGGCCTTGCAAATGTGTGTTTTGCTTCCTGTATGCATCATATAATGTAGACATTCAGTTTTTTGTACAAAAAGAACTTTGTTCAGATGAGCAGTTTCAATCTGTAAAGTAATCGCACCAAGCCACACTCGCAAGTACAAAGAAATCAGCGAGTGCCAGGGACACGGTGCAGCTGATTATCATAAGGCAAATGTTCAACATGTGGAAAGAGATCATTTCTAAAGGGATGTTTTGTTTGTTTTTTGAACAGATTGTGATGAAGAAGAAGAGCCAGTTGTTAACTTATCTGTTTTTTTTTCTTTTTTCTTTTCATTTCTTCTAATGAAATCGTTCCTTTATCAGCTTCTTGGTTCAAACAGAAAACAGGACAGATCTGAGAAAAAGAAGGGTTCTGCCTTCATGTTTACAATAATATGGAATAGGACTCTGTCAGAATTTCTCATTCTCACTCTCTCAGCCTGCTTTACTCTTTCCTCCATGGCCGAAACCTCTTCGTGTCCCCCTTCTTTGAACTCCTCTCCTTTTTCTTCCCTCTACAGCTCAATTTCTCCTATATTAATTTGACACAATCTGCTTCTCTTCTCTTCTCCCAGCAGACAAAGGCCTATGTTCTTTCTCACTCTGCATTCTGCTCTTGCATACACATTCTTTGCTCACTGACACGCCATTTAAAACAACAACAACAACAACAACAACCAGAGAAGCAGCCAATAAGAAACAAACTGTACAATTGGCATCGCCAGCACAATCCCTTCTCTTATTCTCTTTTGCCCTCCCACCCTCCCTCTCCATCCCACCACCACCACCTCCACCACCACCATGTTTTCTCTGTTCAAAACTTACTAAAGAGGACAAACATCATGTGGTGCTGGAAAAAGAAGACACTGTTGCAGGATGACTGAGTCTCTGTTATATTTTCTCCATTCTGTGTGTGTGAAGAGTTATGTTGAATTCCACCAGCGTGTGTGTGAGCGTCACTTTATTACTAGTTACATCTAATACACCTACCACACACACACGCACCTCACAGACACCAACTATTCAAATTGTTCTTGAGCCGAGGTGCAGGCTTAAAGCAGACCATTTGTGTGTTTTAGTTCTGTGCATGAGCATGTGCGCGCATGTGACTGTGCATGTCCGTCGTATTGCCCAGATCACACAAAGACACTTCTTCTTATACGATTCCCAGCTGTGTGGACTTGGCGCGCTAGTCAGCCATTCGACAGCCAAGAATGTTTGGTGTGCAACTCTACTGGAAAGCCCCAGTTACCCACACACACTTACTTAAACACACACTCACAAACACATATGCACCGCATCTACTGAGACATCCTACTCCTCTGAGCAGACGCAGGGAAGGGCCTCACCCCAAAAGGAAGAACGGTTCAAATTCCACAGCTGATAGAAAAAACACTGAACAGCGAGGGAAAAGTGGAGGAACTGATGTCAACTTTTGTCACACCATCCCTACACCCACCACATTTTCACCATGCTTCTATTGTGGTTGATGAAGGGGGGGGG